ATTTCTCTAAAAGAGAGATGTGAATAGCTATATATCTTCATGATTATTCTTATTGGCCTTGTTTATCCACCTTTTCATTCCACTGATCATTCAAAAAATAATATAATGTAGTAACAATTTTCATGATTCATTGTTCAAGTGTACATAGTCATCATTAAGTAAAAAATTGACTCAAAATGAGGAATTATACTCTTATGTCAACTGCCTCAATCTACAAATATCTGTTAAGTAAAAACAAGGGTTTAACAAAATTATCTTTTTACAAATCACACAATAAATATGTCACAGTACCACTCAATCTCTGCCCCTGCATTTCAGCTATTGTTTATACAAACATTAGTTGGATACTAAAATTAGTTATTTTAATATTACATAAAACACATAAATAACCTGCTTATAGTTAAATATACTGTATTTCCCTAAAGATAACAAATATTACCTGATTCTTATAGTTTAACCTAAGTGGTCTAACTTTCATAACTCATCTTCAGGCCTAATGTTTAAATACTCTTCATATGCGAAGCATGAGTTTACCCCCTGTATAATCTACAGCAATTAGCCTTAATAGTCACTGCCACAACTTCATTCATTTTCGATGCTCTGCAGTTAACATACTGCACAAAATAAAATAATTACAGGTGTCAAACAATATACGAATGTCTTTTACACACAAAAAATTAAAAAAAAATACATGACGCCTGCTATATAATCTACAGCAATTAGCCTTAATCGTCACTGCCACAACTTCATTCATTTTCGATGTTCTGCAGTTAACATACTGCGCAAAATAAAATAATTACAGGTGTCAGACACACACAAGAAATTTACAAAAAATACATGATAACAGTTGAATTTTACACTTATTGATACTGTAATTTTTAAAAATTCACTATCTTATAACTATTATATGCTTCCCACTATCTCAATACAGATGCCTAACAACAGACAAGCATAAAGTCTAAATAAGCTTTGTATGTGAAGAAAGAGTTTACCCACTAGGGTAATAAAATGTTACACCATTTATGTTATTGGTGATAGCGGACCCAAAGTTTTGTTAATACTATGGAGGAAGAGTAAATAAAAGAGTTGATAAAATTAGGTGAAATAGCAAGAAATGAAGACAGTTGAATTTTACAATTTTTGAGAATGTAATTTTAAAACTTCACTATTCTGTAAGTATTATACATTTTAAACTATCATAACATAGTTGCATAAAAAATTGACAATTAGGCCTTAACTTATTGGTGGCAGTGGACCCGATGCTTTGCTTATATTTTTACATCATTATGGAAAGAAAAGAAGTGGAATAGCATCAAATGAAGACAGTTGAATTTTATACCATGATTTTAAAAATTCACTATTTTATACCATTGTTTTATCAACAATTCGATCAAAATAAAATCTCAAAATCTTAGTCAAATATATTCAACTATATAATACAATAACAGCATTATCCAAAGGACTTATCTATTTAAAAAAATATACCTAAGAGTTTTTGTTGCATTTTCAATACAATTCATTTACGTTTTGTTCTCAGTAGCCAAGAAACAATAATGAAATGAACAAAAAGAAGAATTAAACCACTGGCAAACAAAATGAATAGGAACCATAGTGAAAGTAATTCAAAGCTACACAGAAATGTAACAGCTTGTGGGATTCCCCAGATCACCACACAGTTAAACTGCAAACAGAAAAATCTGCCCACAGACAACTGTAATAAATCTACATCAAAATGTTAATGGTAGAGTATTATTTTTCAATTATTTCTCAATATCTAAAAGGGTTTCATGCTTTAGAGCCTTCAAAAAAAGACTGTCATTATACCATATTTGTACATTTTTCTATTTGAAGAGATATAAAGCAAATTAAACTCAATTCCTTTATTTGACGTGATGAAATTTTTAAAATTGTATAACATTTATAGATTCTTTCAACAAATTTTGCAAATTCTATAAATTTTCATTCCAAGTTTTTCAAATAAATCTGTGTCAGTTCATATTTTTTAGCTGCTTAAAACTAATGGCATGAAATAAGTCTTTAAGATTATAATACAGTAGTGATTAAGTGGACTTTAAATGTTTACAAACTAGAATGAATATGAGAAATATATATAATTCACCATGGGAAAAAAATAAACAATATCTTATAAATGAAATTTAGTGCCAAAAAATAGTTACATCAAGAGATGTTTATGGTCTTCAATTGAAAAGCTGAGTATCAATATCTTTTCGATCAATAATTAAGTACAACTTTATAGCAATTTAAGTGTATGTGTGTGTCAAAATATGAGAAAAATACTTAAGTGACTGATGCTCACCTGAAAGATCAAGGATTAAATCGGGTCTTCCTTCAACAACTAACGCAAGTTTCTTCACTAGAACCCTATTTGGATTATCAGGCTCTGTGGTTAAAACAAAGAAGAACTTAAATATTTTGAAAAAGAAATATACATAATATTTAAGAATAACAACATATCTGTTGGTCCATCTAGTCCAGCTCATCCACTAAACTCTAAAATTTATCAAGCCTTCCCTTTAACCCTAAAATGAACTGCATCCACCAAATCTGAAGGCAACCCATTCCAAAGGCCAACCACAATATTAGAAAAATTAAACTGTCTCAGTTGAAGATGACTCCTACCCTGACAAAATTTATATATGTGTTCCCAAGTCCTACCATTCTCACCATTAAGTATGAAAAAGGATAAAATGATGATGCATCAACATTGTCACTTCTCTTAACAATCTTAAACACCTCAATCACATCCCCTCTAACTCTTCTTTTTTCCAAGAGAAAATAACTTCAAAGATCTTAACCTGTCCTTGTGTGACACCTTTCCATCACAGGTTACATTCTAATAGCTGTCCTATGAACCCTTTCCAAAGATTCAATGTCCTTCTTAAGGAAAGGTACCCATCACTGAACACAAAACCTCAAATTTGGCATAACCAATGACCTGTACAATATTTTTTATAACCTCTTTAGACTTTTATTCAATATTTCTATAGATATAGCCTAAAATTATATTTGTTCTGCCCTTAATAACAACACAGTACTTGGATGGTTTAAAAGACTGATCAACTAGAACATAAAGATCTTTCTTAATATTAGTTAAATCATCCAATTATTATTGAAAAGTTCACTATCTCCTTGCTTTTATGATGAGTCAAGCTTAGGTTTTAGAAACGAATAATAATGGTCACTGTGGTGTATTCAAATGAACTACTGTGTATAAATGCAAGTTTCTTGAACTGTTCTTATTAAATGGTTATTTAATCAGAAAAATTCCTCACACTAATTCAAATTAAATAAAAATCATTCATTAACTTCAAAAACGTTCTCAAGAATGTTGTACCTTTTGTTTTTCAACCTTCCTGAGAATTCATATCCTGAATGACTAGAGGTGTTGTACAAGTAAATATATGATGTGCATATATGAAAAATAACTTTTATTCATATACCTAAAAGTTTTGTCAAAGCCTAGTTTTATCTTCCTTTTGCAAAAATAATGAACTAATGAGTATTATGAGGAATTTAATACATAATTTAAGTATTAAAAGTCCACATTTTCTCAGCAGTACAAAATACTGACTATCACTGTACATATATATTTTATTAAAAAATGTAGCAAGTACTCTACTGAGACACCTATTTAAAAATAATTAAATACATATTGCATTATGACAAATTTCTAACAGAAAACACTGCATGAATTAAATAATGAAATAAAATTCTAGCTCTTCACCATTTGTTTACACAGACTAAAAATAGTTAAAACAAATAGTTTAAAGGTGAATAACCTAAAAAAAATTGAAATTGTATATGTGCTCACAACGTAAATCTATCTACATAAAAGTGGATCCTTCGTAAAAAAAAAAAGAAAAACAAAATTGAACATATACAGGAAACATCAGTGGCAAACAAGTATACCTCCCAAGTATTAACTTATATTCCATAACTGTTTTTACAATAAAAATGTTCAATAATAGTCCACGAGATCTATGCAAAGAAACAGAGTGCCACATTATCAACTGCTAAAGCTCCCTGTTAATCATGTTATTAACGTAAGAAAGTGATGTTTCTTTTTTTTCTTTTATCAAGTACAAAAACATGTGCATTCTTAGGTAAAGTACATAATTAACACAGCAAATGGACAAAGAAGCACATTTTCTTTAGGTTAGGTTATGATGGTAGATCTTGCTTGAAAGCTTTACTGGTCCACTGTACAAAAATTGTAAGGATAATTGCTGGTCTGTCATCACATTTATTAGTTAATTTTATATACTTTTTCAAATATTTTAAGTTGGAATGTTTGGCCTGTAATATCACTCATGATTTTATCAACACAGTTAAGCTACACCTGCAAACAGGTTATTATTCACTGTTATTTTATTCCACGTGTATGTCAATTTCAGCTTTGAAAATTTTACTCAACAAAAAAATTGGTTTTCCACTGAAACGTATCATCATGACTGAAGTATTAAACAAAGTGAATTAAGGCAATACCAGTTGAAAAATCTCATAAAAATGTGTCAGTACTCAACTGAGACAACATCACATATATTATGTCTACTGTAAATATTTTCTATAGCACCATAATGAATTACATATTTCAAATTAATAAATATTGTAAGTTCTGATGGTAAAAACAGTGATAATAGTAGATTTCTGACACAACAAAATTTATTTACAAAATATAAGTATTAGAAAATTATTCCTGAAAACATTAAAAATGTTTTAAAAGGTAATAAACTATGTTCACATTTGCATGAAGAATAATAATACACAACCTAAAATTATTGCTTCTTTTGTTGCCTCTCCTAGTAAAGCTTCCTTATATTTCCTCAAACTTTCATCTCCTAAGTCAGCCTCTACTATTTCTTTCAGTGACTTTTCTGGTGGAGGTTTATAGTCCACCTCCTCTACCTCTTCATCTTCCACAACTTCAGTTTTCAATTCATCCTTATCATCTGCCATTGTATACTGAAAAACAAAAATGATAAAACTTGTGATTATACACATCACGATCCTTTACATATTTTATTTAAAACAACAGTATGCACCTTACTACAAACTACTGTAACTTTGCTTTGATCACACTTGTGTATATGTATGGTAATTTACTTAATAATCTTTTTATTTTTCTAATAGGTTTCCTTTTATCACAAGGTATTTGTTACATCATAAAAATTTGTTTCTACAAATGAGAAACATCCAACTTATCAATAAGTAAACAGAAATACATATAACTACATCTGTTATTAAGATAATTTATGATAAGTAGAAGCACTGCATTCATATAACTCAAAATACAACAGATAACCGTATTATTTGTCTAGAGCTAAAACCAACACCAAAATTATACAATATCAAAATGCAACACATAAGAAAAGTTTAAGCACCAAGGTAGATATGTAACAATTTCAGAGTAATTATTTAAACAACACATTTCTTTAATAAGACTGGAAGCTTGTGACAATCAATAAACAACACCTAGTTACCCTGACATAATGCCACGAAACTGCTTTTTATTTAAAGAGCAAATACAGCACAGCTACTATAACAAATTATAGTGACAACACACCTGCATATATCTTGCATTCATGTAAATAAAATTACAAACAAAAATTTTTAGTTGCCAAAAAAAACAACATGCTATTCATTTTTTAAATACATTTAGCATAAACGTATGCCAGTTGAAGTATTTAATTCTTATAATACTTCAAAAAGTACATATATGTCTTCCTTGACCATTTATGAAGACTACATTGCAAATTTAGATGGGGAAATCTACCTTATTATAATCAACTAAGAGGTCTTAATAAAGCAATTAAACTGTTATGTACAATAATTACTCCACTTCCTGCAATCATTACTAAAATCTAAAGACACACTTAAAGCTAAGTGGTATCACTTAGTAATGGCAACCCTACTCACACATTTTCTTCATCATAATCATTACGGCATCTCCAATCATGTTAAATGTGATGTTTATTTAACTCTTATCTCTGCCTGTACTAATAATATGCTCTGATGACTTTCAGACTGACTAAATACTTGTACAAATATGCCACTTCTTGTTAAGAGTAAACACGTTAATAAATTGCAGAAACTACTTACTTGTAAAAATGTCATAAAGAAAAACTCAATGTTGGTGAATATTTGGATAGCAATGTTCTAGTGAATCTGGTTATCTGTGGGAATAGTACTGTACAGTGTTCATTTGTTTCTGTCTTTTTTTCAACCTGTCCTTATTAATATTACTTTAGTTTAAACACACCAGTCATTTAATATCTTTAAGTACCGTTCAACAAGAAAAATTGTGAAACTGTAACAAGGTGATGCTATCAACATGTGCATCCTGTAGTGACTGTGAACTTTGATGTTTTTATCCAATATATTGTGCTTGTATGTGACAATGTGAAATATCTGTTCAGCACCAACACTCATGTTTTTTTTTTAACTTGCAACTATATATCATTGATTGTTTCAACTGTCAGTCAATTTTCTGCCCTTTTTGGAACAACTGCTGTAGTCCACTTTTTGATGCTCTGTTAACCCTGCATCTTATTATTAACATATCAGAATAATTATAGATCTCTACTTTGGTCCGTCCTTAATTATGGATATAATTATAAGGGGAATCAATAATGTTTAAAAGTACAATTCAATTATGTAATGGAAACACTAAATAGTCACTTGCAGTTCCAACAATATATATATATGTATATATAAAATAGTATATTAACAATTATATAGATTCAAATTTTATTATAAAAGAAACAAAAGGGTTCTGTCAGTATCTACTTGTAAATGGAGCTTGAAATATCATGGACGAGGTTGTCAAAAAACAAATACATAAAAAATTAACTACTCTGGAAAATAGTATGCCAAGTATTCTTTACAGCAAAAATATTAAAGGAAAGCAGATGAAAAGAATAACCTCAAATAACCTCTTAATTTTTGGTGATTCATATTCTTATTTTTTTTATTGCTCTTATTTTTGTTTCTGAAAAGCATTTCCTTAGAAGTAAGCTAAAGAGAACTAACATATTACCAAGTATCTAAAATTAAATAATTTATTGACTATTTTTAATCTTATACAGCATTAAAATAAATTGAAACAATAAAAATCCATCAGATAATTAAAAAGCTCAAAATCTGCAGGCAAATATATCTACACATGCAATCCCAACATGAACAGAAAAATTGTGAAAAACACAGAAAAAACTGATTATCACTAAATAATCAAGTAATCTAAATTAGGATTTCCAATTATTACTTTTTGATTATACCAAGTAATCAAAATATTGCTATAAAATTTGTTATTAAGCAAAAAGCTACATAATGGACTGTGTTCTTCTTGATCTTAGCCTTATAATTTGTTGTTGTTTTTTACTTCAAGTTTGTTCAGCTAGAGGGGGCTCATGATTCAAATCTTTGGTTCATCTCCTATTGCTATCAAACTTACTCACCACGTCTTTGTTATGGGAAAGCTACTAAAGCTACCTGTCACTGCTGAGTAGAGGAAAGCAATTACCTAGCAGTATTATTGCCAATTTTTTCTTCCTTTTCTTGAACTGCTGACTAGAGGGAAAATAACTGTCTGGCAGCACCATGTACATACAGTGGTTTGAGGAACAGTGTCATAATCAATTAATAAAATGTAATAGATTAATGAGGTATTTTATTAATCAATTACAAAATACCACTAATAATCTCTCAGCTCTACATACAAGTAAGCTTAGTCATTTCAATGGGTACACAAATGTTAACTAGCATAAAATACCCACACTCTGTTGCAGGATTCTAAAGTCCCCTCATCATTCACAGAGGCCTCAATGTACCAGTTAAACACTTCCATTATCTTAATTACTTCTGTAGCTACCCTAATGTGCCAATTCTTTAACTGATTTATCTGTTGTCATTTCCCAAACTTAATTCAATTCAACTCTTTTTAATAGCAAATAGTTTTAATTTAGCTTCTCAGATTAATTTTATTTCCTGTTTATATTTGAATTCTTTTCATTCTCCAATATTCTCCGATTCATAATTTTCTTCTCTTCCCATCGTTTGTTGCTGTTTTCCAAAGTTGTTTAATTCAACTTTTTTTAATTCTCAGATTTGTATTTTTCTTCCCATGTTTATGTTGAAAAAGTGTATTTGGCAGAAGACCTCCACATACTGTTCATTCATTAAGTGAGATTTAGAAAAAATATGATACCTTTCTATAGACCTTCGAGAAGCAGAATTATGACGCTATAGAGCAAAAAATTGGCCAAAATTTTCTTGAGTCAAATCTAAAAAATAATACCCAGGTGCACACCCTCAGAATCCCCTTATTATACATACAAAGTTGCAGGTCTCTTGGTTCTTTTCTCTTGGAGCTATGGCAGTCACACACACACACACACACATAGGCTCTTTTATTATTACAGAAAAAATAAATAAATAAATAATACCCAAGTGCACACCCTCAGATTCCACTTAGTATGCGTGCAAAGTTTCAAGTCTCTAGGTTCTTTCCTCTTGGAGCAATGGCAATCTTATATACATACAGACAGGCTTTTTTATTATAATAGATTAACAGCAGTTTTTGACCCAACAAGACATTTAATGGATAACAGAAATGACTGGTAAACAGTAACACCATGATTAAGTAAAGCTTTGTAAAAACTACTAAACATCATGCAAACATATAGTAAGACTTGGCTTAAAAAATATTTCTCTTTGCTATAACCAGACTGATTGTCTGAAATTGGGGCTGACTTAGAGATGTTTCTGACATTATGACTTGGGAAATTTTTATTTTCAATAATTTCTGCCAATATACTGACAAAATTTACCAACTTTAAAATTTTTTAATTGTCATATTATGGTTAGAGTATTTTTTCTCTGAAATTAATTTAGTCCGCAACGATGTGGGAGGACATCACCTGATTACCAATCAACAACTCACTGATGATTGGTCAATGCATTGAGGTTTTACAACATGGATTATCTTGTCCCCAGGACCCTTCATGCTAAACTAATAAATACACTACCTAAGAGGGGAGAATTTACTACTGAAGAGCATATATCAACAACATGGCAAACACAAGTCTGTTTAGTGTATCCATCTACAAAAAATGTTCTGAAGGATTAGGATCCAAAACATATTAATTCTGATTGGAAACATATCCATGTACAGAAAAGTATTTGTAGATTTACTTGGCAAATGAGATGAAACAGAATAACAAACCATAAAACTGTCGGCAACAGTCAATTCAACTTCATTGATCGAGGTCGATATCAACCAGCAAGTATGTGTTGCAAAAGAAATTGAAATTTCTGTAAATTTCTTCACAGAATAAATGTTGATAGTAATTGTATTCACAAAATAACACGTTATGTTTTAGGAGATAATGGAACAAGAAGTATTTCCAAAATATTTTTGCCAACCAATTTGCAAAATAATATATATTTTTACCCACCTACCTAGCCACATTTTAAGCCTGGCATAAACAAAAAGTAAATATGAACATTGAACTTAAACTCCATCTTATAAAATCAGCAGTGCCATTATTATTCATCAATCTGAAATCACATTACTCAGAGTTGGAATCAATCTGATAAGTGAGCATGTGCATACTGTGATTTAGTAATGACAATTACCAAAGCCTGTTGCTAACAGCAACAGTAAGGGAACCATTCTTCTAATATAATTCAAATATTGAAATTTATACCATGAGACAAAGTTTTATAATAGCCATATCTTACTAAAAGTCACAAGATATCTGTAGCACAGACATTTCCTTTGAACCATAATTTATAAGCAATATGGCATGAAATTAGAATAATCAAACATCAATAAATATTTATCAAAGAACTGGATTTAATACAGTTTTATAAAAATAAAGTTTTACCCATGTGCTGTTGACTGCTATCGGTGTATTATAAAATACAATTTCCAAACCTGTGTTTATAACGATGGAGTACTTCAGTAATTCAAGTTAAAGATGGTTTACGGTGGTTTACACATGCTTATCAATAAAATAAAATTGTTAGAGCCATAGCTATAAGGCTTTGAATAAGTAATTATAAAACGTATCATACACACTAATATAATCTAATAGAAGCCTACCTCTTTCCTAGGCTAAATAAGCAAGATAAATATAGCTAACTATTTTAAACAATACAAAATAGTAATAATCAAGTTTTCAGAACAATATTTCAATGAGAACAAGACAGAACTTCTATAACTAGAATTCAGATGTCTTACTAACTTTTCACCAAAGATAATTGGGTAAAATATTGAAGTTATTTTCCAGCAATCACATGTAAATTCTGAATTTTTCTTTACACCACCACCAATGCTCGTCTCACACAAAAACCTTTCCCAATTTCCATACCTCGGATGTATAACTCTTTTCTTACCTGGGGGATAGAAGGTGGTAGGGCAATGAGACATGTAAAGGGGCAAATTTAAATTAGATTAATGGTCAGCATCAGCTTGGGTGGCAACATTTTAAAAGTGCAGCCCCTCCCCACTAGCCCTGGACCCAATTCACACCTTTGAAACTAATTTTACACGTTCTAATTAACTACAGTTCAAGTTGGTGTATCCAGGTTCTTAACATACTAATTCAGGCTTATTTTAGGGTAGAATTACTTTACATCAGTTATACAATTATACCACTTCATATTTCATTTAAATACCAAGATGTTCAAGTAAAATGGAAATAAAACATAGAACAAAAAAAAAGTTAATTGATACAATAGTCAATGCACACAATGATTCCATCCAAGTTTTCAAACATAAACCACATTCATAAAAAAAAAAAAACACATGTAAAACAAAACAACTGAAGTAATTTTTCCAATTTTTTAATCTCAATATTTTAATCAAATTTTAGTTAAGACAATTTTCAAATATACGCTCTTATTATGTAAAATTTGAACTTTGGGAGAAATAGCTACAATACATAATTTTGTAAAGACAATATTTAACAACAGTTCTCACATAAAGTCAAGATGAAAACTTAAAAGGGCAAATTTCCATGTACAAGTAGTTCTAAAGTGAATACTCTCAATTCCAAAGGCTTCACGAAACCAAGTAAAACATTTTCATGAATGAGTAAAAATTCTTGGTCTGTTGAAAAGGCTATTCTATCTATCAAGACCAGCCATCAACACCAACAACTCTTAAATAGCAAATGATTAAACGAAGTTAAATTACTAGCACACATTTCAACATCATTAAAACTAATTCACAACTCTATAACTAAGTATAACAAACACAAAATTTTGTCCAAAAAACATTTCTAGACCTGGGTTTGCAAAGTTGTTTTAAACATTAAACAGATTACATGAGCCTAACAGTATCTTCAACTTTTTTTTATTCCATAACTAAAAGAACATCCATAAGTATTTATAATATTATCATCAACATTTCAAAAACATGTATGGACCTGGGTTTGCAAAGTTGTTTTAAACATTAAACAGATTACATGAGCCTAACAGTATCTTCAACTTTTTTTATTCCATAACTAAAAGAACATCCATAAGTATTTATAATATTATCATCAACCAAACATCTAACAAAGAATCAATGCTTCCTAAGTTTGATGTTTTTTAAATTTTCTGAAAATACAAAAAGTGAAGTATTTTAAGCCTTTACGTGTTGACAAACCCGATGAATTAACGACAGATCACGAAGCATAATATTCAGCAAATGAAAAACAAAATCAATTTGATACTAGCCAAATGGATATGTCTATGTGTCAGACTGCTGAAACACACTTTGGATCCTTTTCAACCTTTGAAAAGTGCTACAAAAGAGATGTCAAGTCACTGCTATTCAAGGGTCACTTGACCCAAATAGCTATCAGCATGTCATATTTTGAAAAATGAAGCAAGTGAATGCCCTGACCAAGAAGTAGCAGCCTATTTCACTGTCATACTGATTTCTTCATATTTTGAAAAATGAACAAGTGAATGCCCTGACCAAGAAGTAGTAGCCTGTTTCACTGTCATACTGATTTCATCAGGAAAATGGTCACTGGTGTCAAAGCTTATGGTGATACAGACACCCATGATTATATTACTACCATAAGGCGTTTTGCAAATTGATTAGAGAAATGTGGCAGAGAAATGAAATAAAAATGTCAAGCAAAATTTAAGCCAGGTTTGTGATGATGAAACTGAGTGAGAGAAGAAAATTCTTCCCACAAATTACACTATTTAGGCTTTGGGGAAGCAAAGAACTTCACATGTTGAAGGTGATGGCAAAAGAACAATTGGGAGTAAGTTGGGCTATGAAAACAGCAACTTCAATTTATTTTGAGTAGAAAGCATGTTTTGATAGAAATGCCACCTACAATGGAGTTGAAGCAAGTATGAAAAATCATTATAAAAAAGGAAAATGTTATATCAAAGCCAATTCATCATCACCTGGCAGATGAAAAAACAGATATAAGAACAAACAAAAAAAAAGTGTGTGATAAATATCTAGACTCTTCTAGTGGAAAACTTGAAATATACGAGGACTATTTTGGGATTTACTGAGGTGGCTAGAACTGATGCTGAAACCTATGAACAGCTTAACTAAACATCTCAGAAAGTGGGGAGAGGAAAGGGATTTGATGGAACTAACTCAATAGCCAGAAAAATGGAATTCAAATAAAGTTTACTGAAGTTTATATGAATGAACAATATTTTACCTATTGTGCCGATCAATAATTGACAGTTATGGTAACATGCAGTATTGTACAAAACAGAAATTTCCCAGAAACGTTTTCACAAGTGAAAAGTGCAAGGCTATTATACACAGAAATTGAATCAGCACTGATACAACAGAAGAATTGTTTGACAAAAAGTAATAAAAATCCATTTGTGAAGAACTATGGATGAAAAGGCTATACCAGCTCTGTGCACAACTTATTGGTTGTTAAATGTGCAGTTAACAATTACATTATGAGCAACAACAGAGAATTGAGCATTCATTACAAGAAATAAATGCTGGATCAATTGGGCAGACTTCAAGATATACCATTTCTTAAATTTATTCTATCACTCAATTCAGCTACATTGTTTTTGCTGCAATCTCTTCCTGTGTGCTGGGATTTATTCACCCACTGTTATTAGCTGTTGAATCTAGGAAGTGCAATTTGCTAAAAACATAACCTGATGCCAAAGACGTGATCAAGGCAGTTTGATAGCATTTCCAGGCATGTGTGACAATTAGCAATAAAATTCATGTGAAAGAGGCAAAGCTGAAGACTTCATGTAGTCAGACACATACATCAGATGCCCATACAGACAGCATTGAGACTTTTTATTACCTTAATTTCTATTAACCTTTTCTCAATCACATCATGACTCATTCATATTCAGGAAAGATTTCCTACTGATAATGTTACAAATGTATCAGTCAGATAATGACAAAACAGAGACCATCACTATACATTATAAAGGGAACATGCCATCTACTACATGTTTTGAATAGGAAGCTATTAGCTATAGCAGTTTTTTTAAGGAAGCCTATTTTTCCATTATAAAACATTATGTTCCTATAGCTATAAGTAATGTAAATTGAACATAAAAATTAAAAAGTACTTTTAACCATGATGAGGTTTCGGGCGTCAATAAACGCAAAATTACAATTATAGATATATTATTATTATTACAGTCTTGTGAACTTTTTCAATATTACCATTATTTAGTTTATCTAATTATGTAATTATTAATATTTTTGTTAACATAATGTATTGTCTTTAGTTGTACAGGTACTTTGGTTGAAAATCCAGTATCATGGAGGTTTACAAATTACATCAACACATTCTACTAGATATAACAGGGATGTGTGGATGCAGGGTAAGTCCCTCACATTTCTGCTATGCTGAACCTGTTGCTTATACTGTCATTTAGTTCATGAAATGTTTATGGCAATGCAGCTTCAGCACTCCTAAAAGTAAAAGGCTGAAAACATGGGTCAGGATAAGCATAATAAAATAATGGCTCAATGGATTGATCCCACTTTAAATTCATTAATATAAAAATATGAAATCAACAAAATTGTTGAAGTGTCAGGATTTTCATGGAGTTAGGAGACTTCATTTTTAAATCCTACAGTAACTGTAGTCTAGTCTATACCTACTGCCCTGGCTAGTTTAGTTTTCCTTCTGTTCTTCTAACTTTTCACAAGTGAAGCCAGATAAAATCATTTTATTAGTTTGAACAATGCATTTTCACTCATATAAGAGCACTACTTCTAATGGGGATAATAATGTTTAACATTAAGTTTTCAAATATGTTTGCCACACTAAATTTTTTACTAAAATTTAAAAAAAAAGAATTTTTTTTTGTGGCTGGTTACGACCCTGCTCTTATAATTACATCGATTTTCGAACACTATATAAAGTTATATTAAACCAGTAGTATTTGTTTATCTATTATTAATATTATTCAATTTATTGCTTCTAATAAGTAATATACTAAGGCTAAGTAAACTGAAAGTCGAATTAAACTCAATACCGCATATGAATTCCGATACAAGTGTTTTTCTACAAACTCAGTAACACAGAAAAGTAGTAGTAGTACCAATATACCAGAAATACCAGTAATAGTAACAATATTGGTTAGAAATCTACTAGGTACACATTATTCAAACTTCTACCAATCTCTAAACCAAATCTATAATTGTTATAATATATAAAAAATACTTATTCTTTATATTAAAGTTATCGAATTACTTTGCCAAATCCGCTGACAATCCCCACTCCCACAGATTATGAACCGACTCTAACCCTTAATACTTTGAATTTCCGGCAAAGTACATTCTAACATATTTGAGAGTAAGTAGTGCATTAAATACACGCAAAAACAAACATTTGGTGAAATGTTCAGCTAAAAGTATTGCAAAAATTCCTTTAAAATGTAACACTAATTTTTATATTGGAAAGTTTTGAACATAATTTATAAGCATTTTATTTTCTTGAAACGGAAGTAACGTTTTAATTTAATAACCGTCATGGGTATTCGTTCAATGTCTTTTCTGTTTTAAATAGAATGTAATTAATTTATGAATTAAATATGTCCATGATTTTGTAGTTCTTAAATTATACGTAAAATTAATTGAAACATGCTAAGCATAAACACAAAAATGACCAAGCAACAAACTGGAGGATATTAACTAATAAATAAATGGCTTTCATGATGAAATTTGTGGCCCAAGTAGATTGTTTGTTACATAATGGGCTACCTGTACTCCGCCCACCGCGAGTATCGAAATCCGACTTTAAACGTTATAAACCCTCAGACTCACTACTGAGACGAAGGGGAGGGTGGGGAGAATAAAAGAAATATTTCTCAAAATATTTTAATAAATTAAACTGTGTTCGAAAAATAAACCCTTAATTCAAAAGATAAATTTTGGTATAGTTTTGTAAGGTAAATTTTCAATGTTTTAATTTAGACTTTTGCTAGAGGGAGATTACCATTATGATGACGTTTTAGGTGACCTGGTATTCTGAAGAGTTCTGATAAACTTTATAATTGTATTATAACCCTAAGAAAATTGAGTTATCTTTTGTATTTGCTTGGTATTAGTTTGTTTGTTTGTTTTGTAATTAAGCACAAAGCTACACAATGGACTATCTGTGCTCTGCCCACCACGGGTATCGAAACCCGGATTCTAGCGTTGTAAGTCTGCAGACATACTGCTGTGCCACTGTGGTGTGGGGGCTGCTTGCTATTAGTCAAGTGTATATATTAGTTGTTTGTCCAATTATTTTGGAATTTTGCACAAAGCTACACTAGAGCTATCTGCGCCAAATATCCCTAATTTTTGAAATGATAGCTAGGCTAGAGATATAAGGAACTTCTACGGAAAATTAACCAGAGATGTAACAGTTCATTTCCTTTTCCAACTGAATTGTTACGTCTGTGTTCGTTTGTTAATTTTCCGTAGAAATTCTTTCCGAGAAACTTCAGCGATACACGTCCTTTCTTAAATAAAACTAGTTTATTCTTTCTCAATTCAACATTGCAATACACTTAATATCCACAGTCAATTTAACTTTAACACACGCTATAATTCACAACGATTCACGCATTTTACTTACGGTCACTACCGCTCACTTGACTCTATTAACTGTCTATATTATCTTCAATCTCTCTCTCTCTGCTACTCCAGTTCCGATTAATTCTCTCGTTTTATTTGCAGAGCATGAAGCCACTGGATACACTCCAGCAAAGCTGATGTTTGGTCGGAAACTTCGGTTGCCAGTGGATCTGATAACAGGACGACCACCTTACAAAGAGTTGCCTTAAAATGTGTCAGAGTACGTGAAAGTGTTATCTGAAAGGATGGATAATATTCATCATCAAGTGCGTTCAAACTTGAAAACGTCTGCTGATATGATAAGAGATCTACTGAAGTCAACTTCGTACCAGGAGACAAGGTGTGGTT